TGGGCTGTAATAATAATAATATTATTATTATTATGATGATGATTAATTTAGGGAATTGGATCTGTGCTCTAGTTAAATTAATAATAATAATAATAATAACACTAATAATAATAATAATTATTATTATTTTTATTATAATGAATTCTACCAACTGAGTGCACTGTTTACCTCACTGTGGGAGCAGTTCTCTCCTGCTTTGCTTACATTTTTAACAGTCATTTGGCCAAATTTAATTTTTCTAAGCATGGGTCCTAAGAAAGTAAGTGTAAAGGACAGTGTTGAGAAGAAAAAGAGAATGATTTCCATGGAATTAAAGCATGAAATCATAAATAAACACGCGAGGTTTCCAGGTTTTGGGTTGAGGGGGGAAAAGGGGGGCAGGGCTGGCTCGTAATTCAAATGTTGGCTCGTAACTCAGAGCAAAAAATCGACTTGGGGACGGCTCATATCTCAAAAAACTCATACGTTGGGACACTCGTAAGTCAAGGTTCCACTGTACTTGTACAGTAAATAGTTGCTACAACCTGAAGAATGTCTTATGGGTTGCCCTAAAAACATACTGTAAAAAACTCTGAAGGAAATACAGAACTTGTACTAGCATGTAACTCATTTCTTTTATCTGGTTGTAGTAAGGAAAATGTCAATTAAATAATCATATATATTGTATAATAAATCATGTATCTTCTATAAACATTAGATTCACCCTGCATAAGTTATTGTTTATGTGAAGCTCTCACATACAATGCTGTACTTAGCTATAAAATAGCATAATATAAAATAGTAGATTGTGTTTTGTAATATTGTCAAGATTTATAAACCAAAAAATTGAAGGGAAATTAGTTCACTTCTGTCACATATTTCAGCTTGTAAGAATTACCATATTAAATTTAGGTGTTCATGTAGCCACAACTCATTTCTTGTGTTCAACATTAATTGGGACTCCCACAAACCTCTCAGACCCAGTTCTCATCCTCTGATGTACCAACACTGACTTCACCTTTGTTTTTATGCTTGGCACCACAGGGCTTTTCTGTCATTTTCAAGATTTATAATGCTCCTTCTTACTCTTCTAGAATCCCTACTCATATTGGCAGTTCATTCAGTTTGGCCCACCAGCTTTTTGATAGCTGTGGCCTACCCTGACTGATCTCTGTTTGGTTGGGTTTGGTTAGGTCATTGACAGATGTTGTTGTTGCAGGTTTGCCGGTATATTAGCCCACCCCAGGCCTTTTCCAAGTGGTGGCCTGGCCTTGGCTCCCTTTCATGGGAGTGTCTCAGACCAATGTCTGCCATGGGAGGAGGTACAAGTACCTCCTTGTCTTCTGGGACTAGCCCACATTTAACCCTTTGACTGTCGCAACCCCCAATCCTGAGGTGTCTCCTGGTGTCGCAAAATTTAAAAAAAAAAAAATTATTTTTTCTTATGAAATGATAGAGAATCTTTTCCCGATTGTAATGACACCAGAAAAACGAAATTTGATGGAAAACTGACGGAATTATGCTCTCGCGAAGTTAGCGACCTCGGCGCTGTTTACAAATCGGCGATTTCGCCCACTTTGAGCCCTATTTTCGGCTAATTCCATTGTTCCAGTCGCCCAAACTCATAGCTATTTCTTTAGAACTTCATTTTTTCTATCGATTGAATACAAGAAACTGCCCATTTACTGATTTCAACTACCTAATAATGTGGTCAGAAATTTGCAATTTGGCCAATTTCACGAAAACTAAAAAATATGACAATTTCAAAATAAGGTCCAGAATGAACAATGCAGACATTCCTGGCTCTAAAATAACGTTTTCTTTGTTCATCAGTCACGTCTCCAGGCCCTTCTGATATTACTCTTGCTTTCTATTTTGAATTTTTATTCAAACAAAAAATATTAGACTTACTATTATGCAGACTACTGCAATGCTGTAATAACTGTATAAATAACATCAACCCATTCATGACTGCATATTAGAATGGCTAGTTGGACATTTATTGGACAATGGCATCATTTGTTTACTTTTGAACATTGGCAAAAATCAAACATTTCCCCTACTTTGAGCTCCATTTCTAGGTTCTTTTTATAGTAAAATCAATCAAAATCACCTCTATTTCTGTAATATGTTTTCCATTCTATCAAATGAGACCAAGAAAACGAGAATACAACCATAAATACTATACGAAAATAGACCACAAAGTCGGCATTTTAATTAAAAAAAACGGTCGGAGTTTTTTTTTCTCATTATGCACTGCGTGCTCCAGGATTTTTTTTATATGGTGCACACTGACCCCACAGACCCATTCTCTCACATGTGGGCCTACCAGCTTTCTCTTGCTTGATTTGAAGCCGCTAGAATTTATGAGTATATATACGTCAAACACAGCACCTCGTAAAACGTATATATACGGCCGCAACAGTCAAAGGGTTAATACCCCCACGGGGCTCGGAGGGAGAAGCTAGGCACCTTGGGCTGCCACAAACCCTGCCCACACTGGGCTTGAAGGTGTGGCAGCTGCATTGCAGCAGATGATGTTAGGAGGTGCAAAGGCAGCAAGCACTATGGGATCCTTTTGGAGTCACCCCAGCTTTAGACATATGTCTGAGCACTGAGAAAGCTCAAGAATTCTTCTTGCTGTGAGTGCAGCTGCTGCTACTAGTTCACTTGTCCATTGCACTCTTACTGTATGTATTCAGTGACAAATGTGGATCTCAAAAAAAGCATAGTTTGAGAAGGAGCCTTGTTTGTTGCTGTGTGGCATCAGGGAATGCCTCTTATGTGTGAGCCTGCACTGGTCATTTCCTTTGTCAGTGGGCTGGTGCCTGTGAAGAGGGTAAGGGCCCTGGCTTCCTTATCGTTTGCTTACTTTAGACCAGGCTAAAGGGGCTTTTGGGGCCATGGGAATCCTATGAGGTCCTCTCTTGGTTGTTCAACTATTTTGTTAGAGGCTGATTCTATTGCTGGCATCTCTAATGTCAAACAAATGGTTGACAAGCAGCTGACTAATTTGATGTCACATATTGCTATTCCTGTTAGCTACGTCTTCCTCGTCTTGCATATAATGTTTGCAGGTGCCATATGACTTTTGGCGTCGTGTTCTTCCTTGCCTTTCTGCTCCTGGACTATTGGATCCTCTCTGCAGGGCACCTTGTGGGGCTTCCCTACCCTTATATAGGGGTTGATTATTACCTGTGGATGGTTGACTTGCTCTCCATTATCAGTGGCAACCCTGGATAATTCCTCCAGCTGCTTCATTTGCACACCTGTCTCCTGTCATCACGGACCATATTCAGAATGACATAGGAGAATGTTTATTTATCTCGATGAAAGAACCTGTCTTTCTAGATCTCAAGGATCTGATCATTCACATGCTTTTGTCAGATTTCGAGATAGAATTCATTTCCTGGATTTGCTCCTCTCTGGCTGCGGTGAATGAACTCTGTCAAGCCTATTGTCATTTTCTGATTTATCACATCTTCAGCAGATTCTTCTCATTCAGTTTGAAAGGTGAAAGTTTTCAATTTTCATTCCATGCCTTTCAGGCTCAACATGTCTCTATGAATTTTGACTCGTATCTGTCGGCCTCTCATTTGCAGCCCTTGAACTATTTTGTATCATCTACATGGTGTCTGGCTCCTCCTCACTGTTCTTGTTAGGGGTTCTCCAGATGGTTCTTCAGGTGTTTCAGATGGTGGGCTTTCTAAACAAAGAAATATCACAAATTCATTTGCACTTCCTACAATGATTGGTATTGTAGTAAGAGATGCATAAGGTGTAGAATAAACCCAGTGAAAAGCAGGAGTGTCAAAGGCACAGTTAGAGAACACTGTCACTATATGTGGTTCAAAACTCTTCAATCTGCTACCAGAAGATATCAGAAATATTGCCAAAACAAAGGTAGTTTTGAAGCAGAAACTGAACCAGTACCTGCAACAAGTACCAAAGAAGCCAGGATGTGATGGTTATGTAGGCCTGCTGGTTACTGGCAACAAGACTAGATGATCAGGCTGTCATCAACAAGCAAGTCTGGCCTCAGCTGGGCAGTAATGGTGGAAGAGCCCTCAAAACTAGTCACAGGTGTGAGTTTTTATTCATACTGTTGGAATATGTAACCTGGATGTCTGTCATTCTATAGGAGGGATTCTCTAGAGCCATAGGTCTATCTAGGGATATTGCACCAATCCCTCAGCAAGATAACACTTTCCTCAGGGGTTCCAAGCTGGTGTGGCAAGGTTCATGCACTCAGGCAAGATGCTTCTCCCAGTCTGAACACTTGGAGTTGCACTGCCTGTGCAGTAAGGCAGATGAGTACCTTCTTTTGGTGATTGGTGAGATTGATCTCTGTGCAGTGTGCACTCTCACTGGTAGGCCATCCATGTATCCTTGATGGGGTTTTTGCCTGCAATTACACTCAAAGTTTGCCTATGACTGCTAATTCTGGTGCATGCTGTTTATGTAATGTCAAAATTTTTTTTGATGTTCTTGCTTTGGGCCATGTTAAGAGTTCCTCTCTAACACATTGTCATCAGCAGTCTCGTTAAATCACCTTTCTCACTGGCTGGGCTATAGTCCTTGTGATCAGCCCCTTGGAGTTCCACCACCATTCAACAGCTTTCTCCTGAGGGTACACACTCCCCAGATGACCTATGATACCTAGTGACACCACAAGCTGTTCCATGTTCAGATACCAACCAGGTCTTGGACTTTGTAGGAGTCCCAGCTGAATCAGGGCACAAATGAACATTGACATGTAATTTTATTATTATTACATTCATTGGGGAAACACTAAACCCATAGGGGTCATGCAGTGCTATGGAAATGGGGGCAAACAGATTCAGTCCAAGGAAAGGGAGGGTAGTTTTCAGTTCTTTGGATCAAGAGCCCTTCACCAGCATCAAGTTAAATCCCTTGAAAAGACCCTTTGGGTGCTACCTATTGTGTGAATCAGACAAAATATTCTAGGTGGGGCAATGCAGTTGTATTAATACAATATTTATTTCTTCAGGGTTCTGCTCTTTAGTCTGGCCCTGAATGTGCTCATCTCGCTCTGCTGTATTTTGTTCTTCTATGCGAGTCTTGGATGCAAAAATAGTTACATTAAATATGAAAGTTTACCTGAGTGTCAGTGTGAGACGATGCTTGGTTTATCATCATCACAAGACACAGTTGAGCAGATGGAGGAATCTATAACATTTTTGAATCAAACAACAAAGAAGAACCTGATGCAGCATCACCCAAACATACCTGTGAGAATTATCATGGATATGACACAAAACACAAGGTGTAACCTAATGCCAAGCCTTTTCAAGTAAGTTATGACACAATTACATTTTTTGTAAGAAATAAAAAGGCACAAAACCGTGACTGAAGCAGTACTTAAATAACCCGTACATAGGAAAATGAAACTTATGATGATGTTTCAGTCCAAATTGGACCCGTACTTAGTGACTAATTGTCCAAGTCTGACTATAACATCATGATAAGTTTCATTCTCTTATGTGTGGGTTATTTGTGTATTACAATTTTTTGTCATTGGTTTCAATCTTCAGGCCACTGATATTCAATTGTTATAACCAACTGGACAGATTAATGCTGTCAGTGTGTGCCAGTTAGTCAGCCATGTTAATTTCAATACTGTATTATAATGTATTTAGAGAGAAGCACTAAACCTAAAGGGGTCACATAGCATGTGGAGATGTGGGAGGCAATCAGAATAGATCCAAGGAAAGGAAGGACATGTCCAATTTCTTGCATCAAGAGAGTCTCTCCAGGGTTAAGGAGCCTTCCACGAGGGGGCAGCTAGCCAGGTTCAGCAATCTTAATCTTAATTGGGGGTGGCCAAGGTATATGCAGCCTTGACAGTGAATAAGGATATATGGTAAGTTTCTGTGTGATGAACAGTGAAAGCCTCTTCCAATTAGCTTTAAACTTTTAGAGCTGGTTTATCCTACTTATTGGAAAGTTTGAATTGGCTTGGGGTTGTGTAGGTGCCAATTTGTTATTTTTAATTGAAGAAATTGGGATTTAAGTTTCCCTGCAATAATTTTTTAATGTCTTCTCTAAGCAGTTTCAAATCTTCAGTGCTGATATATAACTACATTAGAAACTTGTGCCACACCCTGTACCGTACTATCCCTTTTGCATGCATTCAGGTACAAGGGACTGGGTGTATGGGATATGGGGGGATACCTTTCTCAAAATAAATCTAATTATTATTATTATTATTATTATTATTATTATTATTATTATTGTTATTGTTCATAGTCATAGGGAAGCTCTAAACCTATAGATGCCACACAAATCTGATGTACTGTTTACCGGCAAGGTGCAGATTTTAGTTTTAAAAGAAGTGATTCTAATCAATATTAGGTACCTCTAGCCAGTAGGGTGTTGAGCATAACAGTCTGTCAGGAGTGTTGGCATTGATACAAATCTCATGCCTAATAGATGACAGTTTCTTCATCCTGTGTGGGTATAAACTTATGCACTGGTACATTCAAAAGGGTGGGAGTGAGCATCTTTTCATGGGATGTAGAGGAGAAATGGCTGTTGAAATTACCACTGTGCAGCATAATATGAATAGTTCTTTTTTGCAGCATCAGATGGCACAATATATACTGGCAGGAAGCCAAGCTCTCTCAAGATACTACTGTTTTTCTTTACTCGGCCATCTATGACAACAGAAAACATACTGGTAAGCCAATGGCTTGTAATACAATATACAACCATGCTTGTGTAAGGTTAATAAAATGCTTTTGTATTACACATTTCATATAACCTTTCTGTTTTCACACTGTATTCTTTATCCACTCACCATTCCCTCCATCCTACTATTTCTGAGTAGTGTATTTTTCAGACATATAGACAAGGTGTTGGTTAATAGGGATGAATTGTCAAAATTTACACTTTTAAAAGGATACATGTTGCTAAGAGCAGCAGAGGTCTTTCCTCCTCTAATTTATCATTTGTTAAAGAATAAAAAGGCACAAAACCATTAGTTACTGGTAGTCAAAGAACCTGATCACAGTCAAATGGGTAAACATCAAAGGTAATGTATTATGGTATGGCATACACTTCTGGTCAGTAATAATGTTTTTTTTCTTTTCATAATGAATGATGCAAAAACTGTATTTAATTAGTTTGATTGTCATTTGATGCAAGTACTGTATGTAGCAATACCAACTCAAATTGCAATGCATCATGACATTCAATTAATTTTGTTTGGCAGGTATCAAGATGTTTTGATTTTGGGGAATGTAATGTTCTTTCTTGAAACATTCAGTCATTCATGTTGTAATTTCTCTCAGGACTCTTATTGATGAATAACACGACTTGTATTGGGCATTTGAAAGTTGGGAAAATTTGTCAAATTATTCATAATTTGAATGGCATTGCAGGGTATGACTTGGGAAATGAACTACAGTAGTGCTTATCTTAAGTACATACATTATCTTGAAATTAACAGTGCAATATCTTGATAATGAGGAAATATATTTGATAATGTTAAAAGTAACTGCAGGAATTTAATGTTTGTAATTATGTTTCAATTGCAGTATGTAGCATAGAGAGAGAGTTCACTCAAAGTCTGGTAGCAGTGTTTCAAGTACTCATGAATGAGAATACAGTGGAACTCTGGATTTCGTACTTAATCCATTCTAGAAGGTTGTTCTAAATCTGAAACGTAAATCCAATTAATCCATCCAGACATCCAAAAATATTCAAAAAAATTCATTTTTTAAAGAATAACTATAGTTTTACATACAGAAAAAAATGAGAAATAAATATAAAGCACTAATTTTAATGATAAACAAGCATTACATACCTGTATTGAAGACTGTTGTTGGTTTATTGAAGAAGGTGAGGAGGGGAGAGGGAGGAGGAGCAGAGGCTATTGTTTGGAAGGGAAATCCCCTTCCATAAGGACTTCAGGTATCAAAGCCCTCTCTGGGGTCACTTCTTTTCTTTGTCTTTTACTGGCACTGGACCCCTGTCACATTAAAAATCTGTCCAGAGAGCTCTGTTTCTGGCATCTATTTAAGATTTGCCTAAAATTGGACAAGGTATTTTCACTGAACATGTTGCAGATACGGCTTGTATCATCTTTGTCAGGGTGATATTTTTCAACAAAAGTTTGCACCTCATTCCACTTTGCACAAATGCCCTTAATCACTAAAAAAGGCACCTTCTCCCCTCTCTCTTCCTCCTCCTCCTCTCAAGCAATTTCCTCAGCTGCGATCTGTTGTTGTTCCAGTTGAAGGTCTTGCAGCTCTTCAGTGGTTAGCTCTTCTCTTGGTCCACACCAACTCTTCCACATCCTTGCCATTCACCTCCAACCCCATGGACTTCCCCAAAGACACAATAAATTCCTCAACAGGCATAGGGTCGTCAGGGTCAGCCTCAAACCCTTCAAAATCCTTATCGAGGACACATTCTGACCATAATTTTCTCCAAGCAGAGTTCAAAGTCCTGGAAGTCACTTCCTGCCAAGCCTTACCTATAAGGCTTATGTAATGGAGGATATTGAAATGATTCCTCCAGAACTCTCTTAAGGTTAAGTCAGTGTCCGAGACCACTTCAAAGCACCTTTGAAACATTGCTTTCGTGTAGAGTTTTTTGAGGTTAGAAATGACCTGTTGGTCCATGGGCTGGATGAGAGAAGTGGTGTTAGAAGGCAAGAACTTCACTGTTATAAAACTGAAGTCCCTAATCAATTGGTCCTCCAAGCCTGGAGGATGAGCAGGAGTACCTGGAGGCACTTGAGTGGCAAGTTATTTTTCAGGAGGTATTTTTTCACGCTCAAGTCAAACACTTCATGGACCGAGTCAATGAAAATTTGCCTCGTGACCCATGCCATATTATTAATTTTCCACATCACACACAATTGACTCTTGATGACATTGTTTTTCTTGAACACTCTGGGATTTTCAGAGTGATACACCAGTAAAGGCTTCACTTTGAAATCCCCACTACCATTACCACAGAACAAGAGAGTTAGCCTATCCTTCACATGCTTGTGTCCTGGCAATGCCTTTTCCTCGTGTGTGATGTAGGTCCTCTTAGGCATTTTCTTCCAAAAGAGGCCTGTTTTGTCACAATTGAACACTTGCTGGGGGAGGAATCCTTCAGCCTCTACGTACTCCTTGAATTCATCAACGAATTCTTCGGTTGCACATTTGTCTGAACTTGCAGCCTCACCACGCCTTACAACACTGTGTATTCCACAACACTTCTTGAATCTGTCGAACCAGTCTTTGATGACCCTAATCCTTTGACTGTCGCGACCCCAAATCCTAAAGTGTCTCTCTGTCTCAGAATTTAAAAAAAAAAAAAATTCTAATGAAATGATAGAGAATCTATTCCCGATGTTAATGACACCTAAAGTATGAAATTTGATGGAAAACTCATGGAATTACGCTCTCAAGAAGTTAGTGATCTCGGTGATGTTTATGCATCGGCGATTTCGCTGACTTTGAGCCCTATTTTTGGCCAATTCCATTGTCCAGTTGACCAAACTTGTAGCTATTTCTTTAGAACTCCATTTGTTTTAGCGATTGAGTACAAGAAATTGCCCATTTACTGATTTCAACTACCCAATAAAGTGGTCAAATATTGGCAATTTGGCCAATTTCACGCAAATTAAAAAGGATGTCAGTTTCAAAATAGAGTCCAGAATGAACAATGCAGACATTCCTGGCAATAAAATAGCATTTTCTCTGTTCATCAGTCACGTCTCCAGGCCATTCTTATATTACTCTTGTTTTCTATTTTGAATTTTTATTCATGCAAAAAATAGAAGATTTACTGTTATGCAGACTACTGCATTATTATAATAATTGTATAAATAACGTCAACCCATATGTGACTGTGTATTAGAATGGCTAGTTGGACACTTATTGGATAACGACGTCATTTGTTTACTCTTGAACATCGGCAAAAATTGAACATTTCCGCTACTTTGAGCTCAATTTCAAGGTCTTTTTCATCATGAAACCAATCAAAATCATCTCTATTTCTGTAATATGTCTTCCTTTCTATCAAATGAGACCAAGAAAATGAGAATACAACCTACAGTGAACCCCCGGTTATCGGCCGACTCTGTTATCGGCCAACTCGGTGATCGGCCGGTTTTTCGGTACCACGTTATCGGCCGTTAATTCAGTGATCGGTCATTCGGCTGAGGCTGCTTGCGCATCAGTTTGGCTGTGTCTCTCGGTGGCTGAGGAAGCCTCTGCTCATAAATCCAAACATTTTGCTTATTTCCCATTGTAGTTTGTGTTATTTTTGCAGTGCAACTGTGAAATAAGTAACCATGGCTCCAAAGAAAGTGGTAAAAAAAGTGAGAAACACCATGGAATTTAAGCGTGAAGTGATAGAAAAGTCTGAGAGTGGTATGAGGGTGGTGGAACTTACCAGGATGTACAGCAAGAATAAATCAACAATTACATCCATCCTGGCAAAGAAAGAACAAATCAAGGACACTAATGTTGCAAAAGGAGTCACTTTTCTAATTAAACAAAAGCCACCAATAATGGTAGAGATGGAAAAGTTATTATTATTGTGGATTAAGGAAAAAGAATTAGTGGGAGACAGTGTTGTGGAGTTGATTACTGTATTTGTGAGAAGGCAAAGCAGTTGCATGAGGATCTTGCAAAGAAAATGCCTGGAACAAGTGCTGCAGTTTGGGAATTTAGGGCCAGCAAAGGATGGTTTGATAGATTTAAGAAGCGTAGTGGCATACACAGTGTTGTAAGGCATGGTGAGGCTGCAAGTTCTGACAAATGTGCAGCTGAAAAACTCGTGCAGGAATTCCAGGGGTATATAGAAGCTGAAGGATTCAAACCCCAACAAGTATTCAATTGTGACAAAACAGGCCTGTTTTGGAAGAAAATGCCAAACAGGACCTACATTACCCAGGAGGAAAAGGCACTGCCAGGACACAAGCCTATGAAAGACAGGCTAACTCTCATGTTTTGTAGTAATGCTAGTGGGGATTGCAAAGTGAAGCCTTTACTAGTGTATCACTCTGAAACTCCCAGAGTGTTCAAGAAAAACAATGTCATGAAGAATAGATTGAGTGTGATGTGGAAAGATAATCATAAGGCATGGGTCACAAGGCAAAATTTCAAAGAGTAGGTTAATGATGTGTTTGGCCCAGGTGTGAAAAAATACCTCCCGGAAAAGAATTTGCCACTCAAGTCCCTCCTGGTACTGGACAATGCTCCTGCACATCCTCCAGACTTGAAAGTTCTTGCCTCCTAACACCACCCCTCTCCTCCAGCCCATGGACCAGCAGGTCATTTCTAACTTCAAAAAACTCTACACAAAAACAGTGTTTCAAAAGTGCTTTGAAGTGACCTCAGACACTCAGTTGACCCTAAGAGAGTTCTGGAGGAATCACTTCACTATCCTCCATTGCATAAGTCTTATAGGTAAGGCTTGGCAGGGAGTGACTTCCAGGAACTCTGCTTGGAGAAAACTGTGGCCAGATTATGTCCAAGAGAGGAATTTTGAAGAGTTTGAGGCTGACCCTGACCCTTCTGACCCTGTGGACTCTATTGTGGCACTGGGGAAGTCCCTGGGGTTGGAGGTGAGTGGCGAGGATGTGGTAGAGTTGGTGGAGGACCACAGGGAAGAGCTAACCACTGAAGAGCTGCAAGAGCTTCAACTTGAACAACAACAGACTGCAGCTGAGGAACTTGCTTCAGAGGAGGAGGAAGAGGGAGTGAAGGAGGTGCCTTCTTCATTGATTAAGAACATTTGTGCAAAGTGGAATGATGTGCAAAGTTTTGTCAAGAAGTACCACCCTGACAAAGCTGAAACAAGCCATATCTGCAACATGTTTAGTGACAAAATCCTGTCCCCTTAAATGGTCCAATCGTATATATACGTTCACCTGCGCAGCGCCCTGAATATTTTGAGGAAAAAAAATCGTTTTTTTTTTATAGGAAAAAAGAGCATGTGGTACCCAGGCATCCCCAATTTTTTTCATATGGCGCACAGTGAGTGCACACACCCATTCTGTCATGTCTAGGCAACTCAGGCCTAGCGTGCCAATGTTGAATGAATGACAAATGAAACGTATATATACGTAGTAGGTTGGTAGACAGCAACCACCCAGGGGGGTACTACCGTCCTGCCAAGTGAGTGTGAAACGAAAGCCTGTAATTGTTTTGCATGATGGTAGGATTGCTGGTGTCTTTTGTCTGTCTCGTAAATATGCAAGATTACAGGTACGTCTTGTTACTTCTACTTACACTTAGGTCACACTACACATACATGTACATGTTTATTTATACACACTTGTCTTGAGTTTTCTTTGATTTTATCTTAATAGTTCTTGGTCTTATTACTTTTCCTTTTAGTATATCCATGGGGAAGTGGAATAAGAATCTTTCCTCCATAAGCCATGCGTGTTGTAAAAGTCAACTAAAATGCCGGGAACAATGGGCTAGTAACCCCTTTTCCTGTAAAAATTACTAAAAAGAATAAGAAAAAGAAAATTGTCAAAGTGGGAAGTATGAATGTGCGTGGATGTTGTGCAAATGATAAGAAAAAGCGTGTGTGAGCGTGTTAGATAGGAGCGAATGGAGATGAATGGTATTTGGGACCTGACGATCTGTTGGAGTGTGAGCAGGGTAATATTTAGTGAAGGGATTCAGGGAAACCGGTTATTTTTATATAGCTGGACTTGAGTCCTGGAAATGGGAAGTACAATGCCTGCACTCTAAAGGAGGGGTTTGGGATATTAGCAGTTTGGAGGGATATGTTGTGTATCTTTATAGGTATATGCTTCTAAACTGTTGTGTTCTGAGCACCCCTGCAAAAGCAGTGATTATGTGTAAGTGAGGTGAAAGTGTTGAATGATGATGAAAGTATTTTCTTTTTGGGGATTTTCTTTCTTTTTTGGGTCACCCTGCCTCAGTGGGAGACAGCCGGCTTGTTAAAAAAAAAAAATGTATATATAAGTTTGGGGCGCTACGCGAGAGAACGTGTACTGTATATGTATGTTTGGGTTAAGGAGATGCCAGAAACAGAGCACTCTGGACAGTTATTTTGTGAGACAGGGATCCAGTGACCCTCAAGCTAGTCCTAGTGGCATTAAAAGACAAAGAAGGGAAGTAACCCCAGAGAAGGCTTTGCTACATAAAGTCTTTATGGAGGGGGATTCCCCTTCCAAACACTAACTCCTCCCTCTTTCCTCCTCCCAATCTTCCAGAAGCCAGCATTAGCCTTCAATAAAGGTATGTAATATTTATATAATTAAGAAAATTATGTTTTTGTGAATATTTTTGTCTGGAATGGATTAATTGTATTTGCATTAATTCTTATGGGAAATATTATTTCGGTTTTTGGCCATTTCGGTTTTTTGTCAGCCTTCTGGAATGGATTGTGGCCGATAACCAAGGATCCACTGTATGTGAAAATACACCTTAAAGTTGGCGTTTTAATCCAAAAACAAGGTTGGAGGTTTTTTTTCTCATGCACTGCGTGCTGCAGGATTTTTTTTATACTGTGCACACTGACCACACAGACCCATTCTTTCACATGTGGGCCTACCCACTTTCTCCCACTTGATTTGAAGCTGCCAGAATTTTGGAGTATAAATACGTCAAAAACACTGGCTCGTAAGATTTATATATACGATCGAAACAGTCAAATGTTAAATTCCACTAACAGCAGCACTCGTTCCATGCATTTTCTTTATGAGATCTGCATGCAGCGTCCTTTGCCTTTTTGCAAATGATCGACTCCACAACACTATCTCTGCTGTTTTCGTTGGTCCACACCAACAACAAACTCCACATCTTCAGTTGTTTGTGATCTCTGTTTCATTAGCATATTCACCCTTTCGCAACTTTAGCTTCCTTTATTTCTACTTTCTTTGCCAGGATGGAACAGACTGTTGATTTCAACTTCCCATACATCCTGGCAAGCTCGGCTAAATGCACACCACTTTCGTATTTTTCTACAATCTCTTTCTTCAGTTTCTATTGTGTTTCTCACTTTCTTTACCAAAGGACTGTCACTAGGAACTTTCTTTGGCCCATGGTGGCTTATTTCACAGTCGCAATCAATTAACAAGCACAAAAAATTGTGAAGTGTTTCAGATGAATGCTCACTCAACCAGTGACAAAGCCAGACTGAGGCAGCATCCTGGTGGGGCAAATGCATCTGATACATATAATTCCCAGGACAAGGTACAAAATCCAGAGGCAAAATTTTGCCCCAAAAAGTGTTCCTAAATCCGAAACATCCAATATCCAGTATGTACGTGCGAAATCCGGGGTTCCACTGTATTAGGAAACTACAATGATGTTGATATTTTATGTGACAGTGCCTAGCCTTATAACATTGAAGATCTTGCTGTCATCCGGAGAATAACATCTCACAATAGCAGTGAAACTTTCATGTATCATAGAATAGTAGACATCTACTATTCTTTTTCCTCTGTGGTATGTATTTTGTGCCTGGAGCTTTTTTTTTTCATTACTTTCAGATGTGCGACCATGTGTGCGGATAGTGAGTGTGAGCAGTTCAACATGCCTGCCGCCTGCCTACTGTCACTTGTGGTTCAATGTTACAAAACCCCCTGTACCTTCGAGAATTATCAAAACTGGTCAGAAGCTTTAATGAATGTCTCTTATCATACTGTACTTATTCCTGGCACATTATTACTACTACTGTAGTATTATAATCATATGATTATTATTATTGTTTTTATTTTTTCTTCTTCTTTCAACAAACTGGCCGTATCCCACTAAGGCAGGGTGGCCAACAAAGAAAAACAAAAGTTTCTCTTCTTAAATTTAGTAATTTATACAGGAGAAGGTAGTTACTACCCCCTTGCTCCCAGCATTTTAGTCGCCTCTTACGATACGCATGGCTTACGGAGGAAGAATTCTGTTCCATTTCCCTCCGGCATTTCAGTCGCCTCTTACGACATGCATGGCTTATGGAGGAAGAATTGTGTTCCATTTCCCCATGGAGATAAGAGGAAATAAACAAGAACAAGAACTAGTAAGAAAATGTAAGAAAACCCAGAGGAGTGTGTATATATAGGCTTGTATACATGCATGTGTAGTGTGACCTAAGTGTAAGTAGAAGTAGCAAGACGTACCTGATATCTTGCATGTTTATGAGATGGAGAAAAGACACCCGCAATCCTACTGTCATGTAAAACAATTGCAGGCTTTTGTTTTACACTCACTTGGTAGGACAGTAGTACCTCCCTGGGCAGTTGCTGTCTACCAACCTACTACATAGGTTTTATTTTTTTATTGTTTTTATATTAAATGTTATTTTTATTTTAAGAATTATTATTGAAAGAGTTAGAGTAAGACAATGTAGGATTGAATAGGTACAAGGAGGATTTGGGTAGGGTAGGGGATGTGTAGACCAAGCATTTACAGGGAAGTATATTAAGTGAACAGTAAGAAACTTTTGCCACATTTATAGATTTGGAAGATGCATGTGATAGGGTGGATAAGGAAGCAGTGTGGCAGATGTTTGGAATAGGTAGTAGGTTACTAAAAGCAGTCAAGAGTTTTCATGTTTATAGTGTAGCTCTGGTTAGGGTATGTAGGAGAGATAGGGCTATTTGTGTATTGTAGAGGGACTATTGTCCAGGGATTTGTGATGTCACCATGGTTGTTTAACATAGAGTATTTATAGATGGGGTTGTAAAAGAAGTGAATGCTAGGGTGTTGGGAGAAGTGTGGGCTTGAAATATATTGGACCTTATACAGAGTGGGAGTTGTCATAGTTGCTCTTTGCCGATGACACAGTTCATTTGGGAGATTCTGAAGAAGGTTGCAAAGGTTGATGGAGGAATTTTGAAGGGTATATTAAAAGAAAGTTAAGAGTGAATATAGCAAGGTGATGAAAGTAACAAAAATGATGATGTTAACAAGGTGATGAGTGATAAAAAGTTTAGGCAGTGAAAGACTGAATAGCAAATTGGAGTGGAGGGAGTATGGAGGAAATGAATATAAGGTAGGTGGTGTGTTGAGGGATCTGTAGAGGCAGTGGAAATGTCATGCTTGAGAGCAATATGAAATGTGATTAAAATGCAGAGAATTTGGAGCATGGTGATTAGATGGTGTGGGGTTACTTAAGTACAATTGAGGACTGAGAAGAAATCGAGGTGGTTTGGGCATTTAGAGAGGATGGAGCAGAATATGATGGCTAAAAGAGTATATAAATCTTTTATGGAAGGAAGGAGGGGTAGGGGTCATCCCAGGAAGTGTTAGTGAGAGGGGGTTCAAGGAGGTTTTGATTATTAGGGCCTTGAATATCCAACAGTTTGTGTGTATGTTTGCTAGAACAGAGTGAATGGAAACAAGTGGTTGTAAGGTCTTGATGTGCTGTTGGAGTGTGAGCATGGTAACATTAACAAAGGTATTCAGGGGAAACTGCTTAGCTGGACTTGAGTCCAGGAGGTGGGAATTATAGTGCCTGCACCCTAGAGGAGTGAGGATATTGCAGCTCACAGGGTCATCTGAATTTTATTATCAGCATGCATTTTACAGGACAGCAATTGAGTGAATGGTGAATGTGTGTCCTTTTTCTGGGTCACCCTACCTTGGTGGGAGACAGTCAGCGTGTTAAATAGTTCTTTTCTTATTATTTCCTTTCATATCCATGGGAACTGGAATAAGAATCTTTCTTCCATAAGCCATGCTTGTTGTAAAGGTCAACTAAAATGCCAGAAGCAATGGACTAGTAACCCCTTCTTCTATATGGCTTACTAAAAATAACTGTTTGAGTGTGAGCAGGGTAATAATTTGTGAAGGGATTCAGGGAAACCAATTGGACTTGAGTCCTGGAGGTGGAAAGTACAATGTCTGCACTTTAAAGGAAGGGTTTGGGATACTTGCTGTTTAGAGTGACATCAAAACTGTCGTATCTGCATGCCTCTGCAAAGACAATGATAGTGTGAATGATGGTGAAAGCGTTTCTTTTTTTGGATCACCTTGCCTCAGTAGGAAATGGCCAGCATGTTAAAAAAATTTTTTTTTTATTAACACATCAACCATTTCCCACCAAGGTAGGGTGGCCCGAAATAGAAAAACTTTCCTCATTCACTCCATCACTGTCTTGCCAGGGGTGCACTTACACTACAGTTATAAAACTGCAACAAAAATAATAATAACAATAAAAATAATAATAATAATAAATTATTATTATTATATTAATATATTACTGGTTTGCTCCCCAGAATACATAGACTACCAGTGGATGGACAGGTCACGTGAAATGATGTACTTATTGACATGTCGCATTCCTCCTAGTATGGGCTCCATCAAGCCAGAGGCAGTCTCTGTTGTCCACACTCCCTGCCATACTGCCACTAACCTTTTACATGTAAATATTTCATCCAATGTAAAAGAGACACTTATGTAAACTTAAAAAAAAATTCATTATGGAAATGATTTTTTACCATGGGCTTCATTAAAAAGTATACAAATTGCAGAAAAAAGAACTATTAGATCAAGAGGTATTTGTAGTGTAGACGGGTGCACAAAATAGTTTTTACATCTGCGCTGTATCCTGATGACTTACAATCATTGGAGATATTGAAGCTGTAATCATGCTTAACTTTCTAGGTACTGTGAAGAAATACCCCTACAACTGGGCCCATCACATTGTTTGGCTGAAGGGTGATTTTCTGCCTTCAAGTACAGGTTACCATTTTTTATGGTGAACAAGGCTCCATTTTGACAGTGCCCTTCCCTTCAAATTTGATTGGGTAAATTTTGGAAAAAAAAAAAATAAAAGTTACTTTGTTCCAGAAGCGAGAAAATTTTCGAGATTTATTTTGGGAAAAAAAAAAAAAATAGCTTCAACACCAAAAATAGGTAGCTAGTACTGCACAATGAAAAACCCCCTTGCCTGCCCCAAACTTCTTAGAGAGATTTCAATAAAAAAAACAATAAAAATTTTTTCACGGGCAAAAAAGATAAAGAAAAGCTGGGAGGGAAGGAAGAATAGTAGTTTTTTCTCTTTTTAACCTTTTACTGTTTCGGGGCCCCTCGAAACTGTCATTCTATGTCGCCCAAAATTTAAAAAAAAATATTATTTTTTTCTTATGAAAAGTTAGGAATATTTTACTAGTGTTTTAAGCTAAAAAAAATTTTTGCCATCATACTTTCCGAGTAAAAGAGCCGCAAAGTTTGCAGAAATTGCGTCTAAGGCAACAGCGGCGATGCCGCCCAACCCCTATTCTTTTATTTACTCTAATTCAAAGGTTTCTTGCATTTTTCAATATTTTCTTTTCCAGGTAACTTATGTGGCCTGTGAGACCAATGTAAGGTGCATTGTTCAAATATACACTCATTATTTACAACACAATAACAGAACAAACTTTATCACTATTAGTTTGTGTATACACTTGTTTACACAAACAAACAATACAAAACAATGTTTATTACTATTGTTCCATAATATATATACATATGTACAGTCACTAAACACGTTCCTAGAACTGCTGCAGCTTGTGGAACTCTTTGAAACATGGGTATATGCAGAGGGGCACTTCACACTCCTCACACATAAAACGAGTGTCTCTGCGTGTTTGTGGGCGTTTTGTGGTATGCATACATACATAACACCTCTTCTGAGCATTTTTCTTGGCAGTAGTAGGAGGCAGTTGTATGGGGTAGTGATCACCGGCCTCATACGAGATGACGTCTGTGGGCGCTGGTCTATTGCAGAGTTGCTCCTTTGTACTTTGCAATTATTGTCTGATTACTGACAGGCAAAATTCACCATATTTTGGTGTTTTGTTGGTCTTCAACTTGTATATGTTATAAGCATTTAGCATAGAGAATCAACAAGATGGAAAAAAAGTTTGATATATACCACTTATAACTCTTGCGTACACAGTCTGCAAACCCAATCTGCATGTCACATTTGTCCACTAAGCGCATATTGAGGTTGTAGTCCATGACAGCTGCAGGCTTTAGAATGGGTTCATTGGTCTCTCTGTTGTCCCTGCCACTGGGTACCATTTCGTTTGTGTGAACTGATGTCAACAATGTGACATCACGTTTGTCATGCCACCCGAAATGCCATGATGTCATTGGCAGCAAAGGCTTGCACCTCACCTCTGCGAGTGCCAGCGTCGAACCTTGGCATATGTTTGCGATTACCACGCACTGTGCACACAACGTCTGTAAGTTCACTCAGCAAGAAATCACTGAGTAAGGGGCTTGTGTACCAGTTATCAGTAAATAACATATGCCCCTTACCAAGATATGGTTCCATCATTGTTCGAACCACATCACCAGAGATACCCAATAACTTCATGGTATCTCTCAAAGTATTACTGCCAGTGTACACAATAATATCTAAAACAAGACCACTTCTGCAATCACACAGTACAAATAGCTTTATACCAAAGCGTTTCCTCTTGCTTGGTATATATTGCTTGAATGAGAGTCTTCCTTTGAATAAAATCAAGGACTCATCAATAACAAGCTTCCTGAAGGGATAAAAATACATGCAGCACTTTTGTTTCAGGTACATAAACACATTTCTTATCTTATATAACCTGTCGCTTCTGTCAGGCCTGGTTTTGCTGAAAAGTGTAACATACGCAACAGTATCAGGAAACGATTGACACCTATAATGTCACTAAAACCTGGAGTTGAAATCAGGCGATCTGTTGTCCAGTATGTGGTGACTGTGCTTTACACATGTGGCATAAGCATTATTGTGGCCAAAAACAGGTACATCTCTGCCACAGTTGTCTCCTTCCACTTGTGTAGCCGTGATTTTGGTGAGAGAATTGTATTTGCCATGGTGTATTCACAGTATGTGTTGGTTTCCCTGACAATGATGTCCATCAGGGGTTCATCGAAGAATAACTCAAAGCAGTCCAGTTCACTGGCATTGTTCCCAAGTGGGACAATGATGGCTTTATCCCACTTTGTGTTTCATCAAAGTCATGGGGACTGGGAACAAACTCGTCACCGTCCTGCCAATCCCAGATGCGGTCTGCTGGTGGGGTCTGGATTATTGTACCGTGGTTGTGGCTGTGGTTGTGGCTGTGCAGGTTGTGGTGGTGCAGGTTGTGGCGTGTGGGGTAGGGTGAGGCTGGTTGTTCTGCTGAGTCAGCCGCGTGGCTAGTAGCGTGGCCCGGTGATGGTGCCACATGGGCCGTGCCACCCTCACTATCACCACCACTGCCTCCTCCCTCACTGTCACCATTCATACCCATCGTTACAATATCGTCATCTTCACTATCAGGTCGTGGTGTTGGGCCACGGGATGTGCTCCCAGAGTTTCTCCTTCCCCTTGGAACAACATATGAAACACTACCAGAGCGATGCTACGTCGTACATACTGGCGCTTCACTGGGGAATATTCACTCTCACTGTCACTAGAACTGCTTTCAATGACCTTGTATAATCACTATCACTATCACTGCTATCATCAGGGTGTTGTACACGACCAAATAGTTTCCTCTTTCGTCCTGGTACAGGCGAACGTGAACGTGAACAAGCCGGCACAGCCCAGAGGTCGAAGGTTGTGGGTCATCTGGGTTTTCGTCACTATTTACGTTATCCTGGGCACTTTTTTCGGTAACACTCACTTGAAAACCCTTGAATTCACCGTCACTGACACTTTCATCGCTGTTAGAGCTATCACTTGGGAACAAAAGACCTCCAATCCGCCGAGGAGTGAGGAACTTCTTACTGAGAGGCATGGTGAAAATGGACTGACAACATGGCATTCCCACAATGCACCGCTAGGTCCCAGATTTTTTTCACAGGGTGCACACCGACCACTGAGACCCATTCTCTCCCGTGTAGGCCTATCAGGCCTTTGGCGCTCGATTTGAAGCCGCTAGAATTTGTGCGTATAAATACGTCAGAAACATTGGCTCGTAAGACGTATTTATACGTCGGAAACAGTCAAAGGGTTAACATGAGGGAGACCTTTCTTTATGCTATAGATGCATTTTTTGCCTATGGTTCATAAAGTGAACCCAGTATAACATGCAAAACATTGGAATTTGTTCCGAAACTGCAAATTTTGTAGTGTCTGACAGCATTTGCAAAATATATTTACAGGTGCTCCTCGACTTACGATGGGGTTATGTTCCTACAAACCCATTGTAAGTCGAATATGAATATCATATGCTAAATAAATAAATAAATAACTACTGTCAAATAATTACTGTCACTAACTAAATACGAGTGTATTGAAAAGTAAATAAACGAATGTAAGTTAAGGACTACGTGCCTTCATGCTGGGTAATTATCTCAAGTTTCATCTCCAGAGTAATTGCTTTTGCACCATCATAATGTCGAAATATCGTAAGTCATACCATCATAAGTCAAGGAGCACCTGTATAGCAAATCGAAGTCCTGTTTAGACTGTGTTTGTTGTGTGTACATGTGGTATCACTGATCAAGATGTAGCAACACAAATAAAAAATTATTGAATGTTTTCTCCTCACTGTATGTGGTACTGCAATGCACATAACACATAAAATGTGGATTCACTGATTCATAAATTGTTTCCAGGTGATTGGGGCTGCAGAAAGAGAGTCAATGGCTGTGTCTAGTAATTTTATTTCACAAAATGATAAATGGTAAGTAGAGCTCAGAATTTTACAGCATGCTTAGAAATGTATTATTGGCTCTTGTGAGCATGAAATGTAGCTGTATAAAGGAATTAAAAAGGATATCTTGATGCCTATAATGTATGTAAGCTTTTAGGATATAAAAAAAAAGTACCTTTTAAAACATTTTTCTGCAGTGGGGCCCACCAGAACTATGCCACACCTCATTCACACCAATACTCACGGCTCTAGACCCCAACAAAGTTTGTATGTGCACTCTGTGGTCAGTAAGGACCTCCTTCAAGTGTGTGTTTGTTATAATCATCAGCTGAGGCTTCAGAGTAATGTTGTTACTCTATTTTGTCCCATAGCCTGGTTAGTAGCGCACTCAGCTCACACATAGAGGTCTGTGGTTGGATCCCCGGTATGGGCGGAAACATTGGGGGTGTGTTTCCTTAAGAAATCTGCTGTCCCTGTTTACCTAGCAGTAATAGGTACCTGGGTTTTTAACCAACTGGTGTGGGTTGCATCCTGGGGACAAAATTAACCTAATTTGTTGATGCTCTGCATAACAAGGGGATTTCTATATAGTATGTAATTGATATCAGCTAGGTTTGTATAAGTTGTATCATGTACTTGTGGAAATTATTATTATTATATTATTTTTATTATTGGCACCAACACAGTTCTCTTCTGTTTATGATTATTTTATTTCCTGGGGCCCAGGGATGTCCTCCAACTGCTTTCAAGATTTCTGGCAGTCTCTTTGGCTCTTGAAAATATTTGTAGCAATGATTTACTTTGCTGGTACAACAGAACTGGGGATACCCTTTCTGACTGCCTGGCTTTCCTGCTATTGGGTTGTGTTGATTTGCTTCCTTGCAGGGATTCCTACATGTGTCTAAGATGGGACAGCCTCTCTATTGTTAAACTTCACTCCTCTTTATGCTGTTGGCCTCAAACAGCCTCCTACTTCAGTGGGTGTAGGGGCCTGTCAAGAGGGCATTGACCTCAGCCTCTTGCCCCTACTAGAGTTTCTGTCTCAACCAACACATTCCAGGATAGTCATTAAATGAAAGGTATGCAATGCTAAAAAGCTGATGAATAGGATGTGGATCATTAGATATGTCTTATTCATCAACTTGTTAGTATGCTCTTGGTCTAAAGGTAGTGTTTGACCTAGCAACACTATGGAATCTTGGTACTGGAGGTATATTCTACAATTAGTGCTGGCCTCTGACCAATGACTCACTGCCAGGTCCTTTACACCTTTGACCACATATACTAATTACTGCAAAATTCCACCTTTCCCAGTGACTCCACTATAAAAAGTCTCTATCATAAAGTCCCTGTATTAGATTGAAAAAAGCCTGCTGAGCAGGAAAAATTTCTTCAGTTAAAAAATGCCTAGATCATTCATCAGCACTCCAGAAAACCATGCATTCTATAATAGAATGTGTTTTGTAGCTTCTCTGCCTTTCATGAGTGGTGTGAGTATGCCTCAGTTCTCCTCAGCTCTTCACAGGGACATGGTTCATTGCCACTATCTTTCTTCCTCACACTTCCTCAAGATCAATTTCTCTGCTTCCCGTTGGGGAAACTACTCTTGATATATCCTCATAGCTTGTAAAACACCCGTTTTCCCCTTTTCAGCAACAGTTTTAAATGATCTGAAAGGAACTTTTGGCTCTCAACATCTTGGTCATTTACTGGGGACACCGAAAATTCAATCTTGGTGGGTTACATGAATTTCCTTATGCTTTCTCACCTACTTCTTTATTTAAGGATGTCAACTCTTGCCTTGCTGAGCTGTACATTCTTTATACAGTATCCTCATTATTTCATGGTTTCCCGCAACTCTTGGTTCCTGACACTGAAAATCCTCTCATAGAATGAGCTACAAGTTTAAAAGGTTTAAAAGAATTGAATCTATCAGACATTCATATTAAACATAGCATTCAAATAATCTAACTTCAACTATACACTGTCAAGTTCCTGCTTTTCCCTATTCAGTGGTTTTTCAAACTGTACTAAATGTTGCTTAAATTTTTTAACAATTATGTACATTTTTAAAATAAAATTGTTTTTACTGCATTATACTCTTACATAAATGCTATCAGACAGTTAACAAAATTGTTGATTTATTGCCATGCCAAATTGCAAACTTCCATTTTTTTTTTTTTTTTTTTTTTTTTTTTACTTCTGACTTCCCTTAAATCTGTTCTTTTTGTTGTTGTTGTTTTGTTTATACTGTATATTATTATAAACCCATAAGTCAGCCTGGGTAGTAGATGGAAAAGGGTGGGGGGTGGGATACTTTCACTCAAATTATCAATCTTGCATAATCCCAGCCAAGGTTATTTTTTTCATCTTAAACAGATGAAAAAAATCAGTTTTTCTGCATCAGCAGTCAACATATGTGGTGTTTTCATAGCCTCTGAGGATAGTGATAATATTTGTAAGTTTATCACCATGGGAGTAAACAAGTCTAAACAGAGGGGACTAAATTAGCTGTTTACTGTAAAGCAGTCATTACATACAGTTGTTTTCATATCCTCTGCATTATCAGGGCTAAGATGTGGGGATACTGAAGATAATGTTTATATACAAATTGTTTAATCCACACACTTCATCTTGTGTTTTCCATAATCAGGGTTGTGGAAATTGGAAAAGATGCCCAGTACAGTACCTACTGTATATACATTGTGCATCAGTTTCATTGTTAAATTTAAATTTTGTGATAAATATACAAGTTTTTTATGGGGCTTGGCTGCAGGTGATGGCACTGTTTAAAAGTGTGTATCTCCCTCTTTGCCCCCTTTCCCCTCACCCCCTTTCCTTATTTCTGTTACTATTGAAAATTGAGGAAAACTGCATTAAATTTTTTTATTTAAATTAATTATTAATATGAATTAATAGTTTATAGATAGACCATCTTTTAACACGGTAGTTACGTTCCTGAAAAAGCAGTGTTAGGCAAAACTGTGTTAGACATACTGAAGAACTTATGGGAAAAATAGGGTTACGTTCCTGTTAGCCCCCAAAAAGCCAGACAACTTTTTTTTTTTTTTTTTTGACCAACAGATCTTACAAAAATAAAAATGAATATATAAAATTTTAGTTCATTGTCATATGTTTAAGTTGTTTTTACTGCATAATATTGTAAATGCAACAGAAATAATAGTATTTACCTTAAATTGTGGGGGCTGGTGTTTGTGGATGATTGTGAAGAGAGTGGGAGAGTTATGCTGTGGTCCTACTGGGCTGAGGTGGATGGTAGAGGTTCTGGTACTGAAGTCAATGGATGTACTGGAGTGTGCATAAATTCTGTAAGGGATTTCTATTTTATTTTACCCTACAGTACATTATACAATTGACAGTAAGGCATAAACGCTCTGGGACACCATTTCAGGTTTTTCCCTCTTCAGTAAAAAAGTCTAACCTTAAGTCATTTCAAGTCATTCAGTCAGTCAGTCAGTAAGTCAGTCAGTCAGTAAGTAAGTTGGTCAGTCAAAGTGATAATAAGTCAGTCAGTCAGTCAAGTCATTCAGTCAGGTCATTCGGGTCAAGTCATTCAGTCAGTCAAGTCAGAAAGTCATTCAATTAAGTCAGTCAATCAATTTCATTCGTCAGTCAGTCAAGTCAGTATATTACCCAGTCAAGTCAGTAACTCAGTAAGTTATTCAGTCAAGTGGTATGTTATTCAGTCAAGTCAGTAAGTCAGTCAAGTCATTTAGTAAGCCCAGTCAAGTCATTCAGTCATTCATTCAGTCAGTCAGTCAGTCAGTCAGCCAGTCAAGTCAGTCAATGTCAGTCAAGTCATCAAGTCAGTCAAGTCAGTCAAGTCAGTCGGGTCAGCCCAGTCAAAGTCAGTAAGTCAGTCAGTCATCACACAAACTCATATTTACCTCATTCTTTTGTTTTACAAAATGATGCTTCATTCCAGCAACAGGCTATCTCTTGTCTAATTATCTCTATTTTTCTTTGTTAATTCTAAACTTAAATGCTTAAACCTTTTTTTGCAACTTTCAGCAACACTTGTATGCTACTGGGTGCATGATTGCTTGGCAAATTTAAGTATGGAAATTAATTTAATCTAAACAAACACAGCGAGCTACTGGCACAGGTTCATCCAACACACGTATGAACCGAACTGAAGGCTGGGGGTGGTGGGGGGGGCTGATGCTGGCAGGGGATGCAGTAGCCCCTCCTGCCCCACGGGCGACCGCGCACTCAAAATTTTTTTTCCCCTCCCGCAACTATGTTAAATTAATTTTACGAAGTGTTAAAAATAAGTATTGCCCCAATTCTTCAGTTGTGCTATAACCAAAACGTGCCAAAACAAAAAGTGTTAAACAACGGTCTACTGTATATACAAAAACATTCTGGTAGTCAGTCTCACAGCAGTGAGATTGGCTTGGAACTGCCTGGGGCATTACAACCCAACAATAGCAACATACCCTTTTCATTATTTTGACTGTTTTTCATATTTTTTGGGTAGGTTGCATTTATAAGACAGGGGGTATTACTCTGGACATTTATTCACTAAAAAAAAATTGCCTTATGGGTTTTAATACTGTATACAATAAATGCTGAACTTATTACTTTAAACAGGAATGGGCAAAAAGTATACTGCAGCAGTGTGTGGCCCAGCACTTTACAATTTCCCCCAGGACTTCTCCATCAGGATGTGGAATGGCTGGAAGCCTTAAGGGCACAAGGAATTTCTCATGTCTTTCTCTATGAAATGGACATACATCCTAACCTTCAGAAGGTTTTGCGTTACTATGAGAGTGATGGCTTCATCAGCGTAACCAAATATTCTTATCCCCCTGTAACATGAACCCGTATTTGTAGGTTGTATTGTTCTTTTATCAGTCGAGGTATGTTGCCACTT